ACCCTGCCTAGAAAAACAAAAATAAACATAAATAAAGACAAGAACCAAAAAATCAATTAACAACACTGTGAAAGCTCTGTGTGGTAGTCCACACCTTTAATTCCAGTACTTTGGAAGCAAAAGCAAGAGGACCTCTGTGATTTTGAGGACAGCTTGGTCCACATAGACAGTTCTAGGACAGGCATGACTATGTGTAGAGAGACCCTGTCTCAAAACACAAATTAAAAAATATGGCAAGGCGAGTAAGATGGTTTAGTGCATAAAAAGAATGTATTGTGCAATCCTAGCAACCCAGGTTTTGTCCCTGAAGCCCACATAGTGATGCGAGTGTGCTTTACATCACATACAAAAATCAACTCAAAACTGATGACTTCAGCATTCAGGAGGCGGGGCCAGACAAGTCTGTAAGTTTGGAACCTGGCTTATCCACACAGTGTGAGACCTGTTTCAAAACAAGAAAAGCTTATTGAAGACTTAAAACATTAGACCTGAAACTTAAAATCTACTGGATAAAAAGCAGTGAAAATTCCCTGAAATTGGTCTGGGTAACATTTCTTCAACCTTTTTCTTTTTTTTTAATTTAAATTTTTATTTCATGTACATTGATACTTTGCCTGCATATATGTATGTCTGAAGGTGTTATATCCCTTGGAACAGAGGTTACAGACAGTTGTGAGCTGTCCTGTGGGTGCTGGGACTTGAACCCAGGAATTGAAGAACAGCCAGTGCTCTTAGTTCTCCAGTCCCTGGGAAACATTGCTGTTGTTGGTTTTTTTCTTTCAAGACAGGGTTTCTCTGTGTACCCTTGGCTGTCCTGGACTCACTTTGTAGACCAGGCTGGCCTCGAACTCATCACTGTAATCTGCCTGGCTCTGCCACACTAAGTGGTAGCACAGTGCCTGGCACTGGGTAACATTTTTAAAGCTTTATTTGAGTGTGAGTGTGGGTATGCATGTGCCATGGGGGACTCTTGGAGGTCAAAGGACAAACAGTGTGATGCCCACAGGAGCTTCTCAACAATTCTTTTGTCTTTGTCTCATATTTCCTAGAAGAAACATTGGGATTATGGATGTGTGCCACCTTCTGAGGATCATCAAACTCAGGTCATCAGGCTTGTGCAGCAAATGCTTTTACTGAGCCATTGCCCTGATCCAATAGTTCTTTTGTGTTTTTGAGACAGGGTCTGACTAGATAGACCTCAAACTCACAGAAATCCACCTGCCTCTGCCTTCTGAATTACATGTGAGTTCCAACCACACCTGGCTCCAATATAAACATTATATATATATATATATATATATATATATATATATATATATATATATATATATATATTTATTTATTTATTTATTTTTTTTTTTTTCATTATTTTAAGCTGTGTGTGTCCATGGATGCAGAGGCATCAAATCCCCTTGGATCTGGAATTGTAAGTGGTTGTGTGCCACCCCATAAATAAAACAGAAAAGCAGTATTTGCTCTTAAACACTAAACCATCTCTCCATCGCCAACAATTGTATTTTATTATTATTATTATTATTATTAAATTTTTAGAGAGAATCTTACTATAAGCCATGGCTAACCTGGAACTCTATGTAGATTAGGCTGGCCTCTAAGTAATAGAGATCTGCTTGCCTCTGCCTGCCAAGTGCTGGGATTAAAGGTGTACACCATCATGACCAACCACAGTAGTTTTAAAAAAAATTTATTCAACTTTTTAAATACTTTCCAAAGTTTGGAAACAACAGAACCAAAAACAAGACAATTGTAACTACTTCAAACTAGAAACAGAAACAATCAGCAGAGTGAAGAGGCACCTGTGGAGTGGGGGAAAGTATTTGCAAATCATAATCTGATCTGATGTTAATATCCCAAATATATGAAGACTTCATTCAGCTCAACAGCAACAAAACTATCTGATTAAAGACGAGGCAAAGTGGCCAAGGAGTAGTTCTCTGTGTAGAGCTCTTGTCCTCTCCCCTTGATGTACAGTGCTCTGGGTTTGACCCCCGGCATCATGAAAATAATAAAACTACCAACTGCTAGTTCGGTGGTCCATGTTTTTAACTTTAGAATAAGGTGGGTAGAAGTGGAGGTCTCTTTGAGTTCAAGGCAAGTCTGATTAACATAGAAAATTACAAGCCAGCCAGGCAACTTAGTGACACCCCGTCTCAACCCAGCCACCCAACCAACCAAAAGCCAACAATGGCCCCCAACAATGGGCAAAGGAGTTTTTGAAAATAGTCATTTCTCCCCAAAAGAGATATAATTGACCTGTAGGCATACGGAAAAAATACTTCATCATTAGTAAGCAGGGATGTGCAAATTGAAAGCACAGTAAGATATCACATCCGTGAGGCCAGACATTATAACCAGTGTTGAGGAAGTGAAGAAGGGAAACACTTGCAATACTATAGGTAGAAATATAAATTAGATAAGACACGGAGACAGGGAAAACCCCACAAAAACTTAAACGCAGAATTATACAATCTACTACTGGCCATCTATCTATAGGTAATAAAATCAGTATTCACATGTTCATACAGCGTTAATCACAACCGCCAACACATAAAAGTCAATAATTCAAGCGTCCATCAACTGATGGAGAAAGAAAATGTTTACATTCATAACAGAATACTGTTCAGCCAGACAAAAAGAAGAAAATTCTGTCTATTGGGACGCTATGCACGGAGCTGGAGGGGACTGTTAGATCAGTCAGGCATCAAATTCTTCACCTAAAAATTTTCAACTCAGAGGTGAACAGCAAATGGTGGCTATGAGTAGTTTAGGGGGAGGTTGAGATGTTGGTCAAAGGACACAAAATTTTAGTTAGAAAGGAGGAATAAATTCAAGAGACCTACTACATTTTAGTGGCTATAGTTAATAAGTGTTCTTTCTCCAACCCACCTACCCACATATGTATATATGTATGTATTTGTATATATACATACACTTCTTCTTTTTTTTTTTTTTTTTTTTTTTTTTTTTTTTGAGGCAGTTTCTGTGTGTAGCCCTGGCTATCCTGGAACTCACTATGTAGAACTGGCTGGTCAAACTCAGGGATCTGCCTGCCTCTGCCTCCTGAGTGCTGAGATTAAAGGTATGTGCTGCCATTGCCTGGAGTGTTTTACTTTTTGAATAATATATTTTTGAATATACCGCTTAAAGAATATTTTTTTTTCAACACATGAACATATATGCTAATTAGTCTGTTATGGGGAGCCCACCATAGATGAAAACTTAGACACAATTTATAGGCAATTGAAAATCTTTATTCCACTTGGCCAGGATTACACTCAGATATTTAGATCCTAAGTATAGCACTGAGTGGTCAGAGCATGGGTTTTTTTTTTTAAAGAAGAAATCATGTCTTGGGCTTCACATAAGCAAACATTTAACAAAAGCTAAGATAAGCAGTTAGCTGGAAGAGGAGGTTTGCACAGAGGCAGTTTAACAGAAGCTAAGATAGATTAACTACGGCATTTTGACCTTGGGGTCCTAAAATAGAGCTGGGTAACTTTCCACAGTATTCTTCATCAAGGAAATCAAGTTCTAGTCAAACTGAAATGGCCTCAGCAAGAATACAAGATGGAGGATACAAGATGCACTGTCTTGCCTGTCACAAGCTTAATTTAGTCATTCTACATGTAAACATTTTTAAACTACAAACTTGATAAATACACAGAATTTTGCCAGATTTGCTGGCAGTTGGGAAGCAGAGGTAGTTGATTCTCAGTGAGTCCCAGGCTAGCCACAGCTACATAGTAAGACCTGCTCAAAATAACCAAACAAAATTGAGAGACAGGGAATTAGTGTCACAGGTTTGTAATCCCAGCATTTGGGAGGAGATGGAGGCAGGGAGGATGAGGACTTGAAGGCCAGCCTCAGCTACATAGTGCCTGAGGTCTGCCTGGGCTACATCAGATTTTGTTCACAACACACACACACACACAGAGCGAGAGAGAGACACAGAGAGAGAACACTTTGGATCCTGTCTTACATGTCTGTCCCTCAGTTAGGTTTTATTTGGCCAAACTGGCCAAGTCCTTGCCCATACTGTTTGTATTCGTTATTTATTGGTTCTTTCACATAAGTTTTCATTTTTTTCACGAGTTGTCTACCCATACTTGTTCCACCAGCTCTCGAGTTCCACAGAGTTACCAACACCTTTCTGGTGTTGGTATGCTGGATACATAACTGATTAATACTCAGTGCGTCTTTATTGACTGGGTGGACCGGAAGTGCTTCAACCGCTAGCTCTTGGCTCCTAGTCAGTCCCTGAAACTGCAATGTCTTCCCCTTCCTACTTCTCTTGGGTCTTCAGCCAAGACCATCCCACAGGGAACTCCTCTCATTCTTCCTTCTCCTCAATTACTTTTTATTTTTTATTTTCAAGACAGGGTTTCTCTGTGTAGCCCTGGCTGTCCCGGAACTCCCTTTGTGGACCAGGCTGCTTCAAACTCACAGAGATCCACCTGCCTCTGCCTGCGGGAGTGCGTGCACCACCACGTCCGGCTGTTCATTCATTCATTCTTTGCTATCAACATTCAAGATGCTCTCATCAAGTAGCCAACCACAAGCCACAGGCTCCTCCTGGGCCAGGCGTCAGGTCAGCCCGTGGCAACCTCCTCTCCTGGCTTTCCGAGACCGCGGTCCACGGCTGTCAGACTGCTCGGGCTCCGTTTTAACCCCCGTGTACCTTTCCGTCCCGCGGACTGAGGGCGGGGTCGGGGAAGGAATGGCTGCCGCGGGGCTACGGAAGGCTGAGGGGGGTGTGAGGGGCCGGCTCCAGGCGGCGGTGTGCGGGGAGAACGTGAGCCCTTGTGACGCGCAGCCGGGGACAGAAGACCGGCGAGGAGCCGCGCGCCCCGAACCCCCTTCAGATCCACGGCGGGAAAACCGCGGGTTCGCAGCGCGACCTCTACGCCTGCGCCGCCCGAGCCCGGCTACCTTGGAGCAGAGGACGGCGTCCTGGGGGTGGTGACGCTCGGGATTCCGGAAGCCCACCCTTCACCCGGAAATGATTGTGGAGGAACATGGCGTTGCTGGTGCGAGTCCTTGTGAGTGCAGGGATACCTTTCTATACACGCACGCGCGTCTTCAGTTTGGGTTTGGAGAGGGCGGGGCGGGAGGAGCGGGGGAGAAGTTGGGGAGCCTGTGCGGTAGCTCGGTTGCGTGGTCGCCTTTCCGCAGGGAAACTGAGGCAGCCTCCCACTTCTCCCTCCCCCTCATTTGGCCTTGGCTCCTCCACCTTTTTAGAAGGTAGTGACCTCGCATCTTTAGGTGATGAGGATCGCTCCCTGGGAGGAGAGCACGTGGGTCACTGACTGGAGTCGGGAGGACTGAGTGGGGAGGGGGTTCTAGTTCATGTCTGTCACAAGGGTGACCTTGAGTAAGGGGGTCCCAGGTCCATGTCAAAACTGAGGACATTTGTCTTCTTGCAGTCCCTTTGGCTTCTGAGGTTCTTTTAGTTTGTTTTAGAGATTTTACATGAATTTTTACTTGTCTAGTTCGGTGGCATACAGAAGTCATCAGAGCAAAGCTTCAGGAGAAACGGCTTACTCTTTGCCCAGCATAGCATTTGGCAAAACCTAACAGTTGTTGAAGGCGTGAAGGAATGAATGGATAGGTGAAGGTGCGAAGATTTCTACACTCTCTGTAGTCCGTCAGGGTAGCTCTGTCCATGTCCCTCCTGAGATTTGGCTTTAAATGGCCAAAGTCGGAGAGTCACTCTGACTTCTAGGGATGGTTAAGAAAATGACAGAGGGGATCTGGTGTCTAGCCACGAAGGGATGGGACAGTTTGTAATTTTAGTCAGGTTATTTGCGGAGCTTGGTCAAGGGCACTGTTATACGTATTTTACACGTGTTTGGTCATTTTATATGTGACTCACTAACTTATGTTCCTTGCCACTTTAGCAAAGCGCAGAAACCCCCAAGTGCCGCTCAGGAAGTTTTGTGTGAGGCCTGTTCTTGTTGCCCAAAGAAGGGTTCAGTTGCTGAAGTGAATTACAGATGCTAAGGCAGAAGTGGAATTAAGATCTGAGGATGGCTGGGGAAATGGCCACTGCCCAGTTGTAAATTATTTATGTGTGCACATGTGCGACTGTGTGTGTGTGTGTGTGTGTGTGTGTAGTAAGGGTTAAATCCAGGCCCTCATGCATGCTAGGTAAGGAATTTTATGCTGAGCTCTATTTTCTAAGGAAGATACTGTGGGGAACTAGAAGACAAATGTATTGGGCTAGAGGCTTGACCACCTCCGTTTGCCTTGGAGACTAGCGAACAGCTCTCTTAAATTTCTTGTTCCTAGGGAGTATTACCCGCTCATTTCTTCTTTGCTGGTGGCGTCCATAAAAACCACCTCCCATTTACTCTCTAGTAATTGGGCCTGTTTTTCTATTTCCTGTTTATCTTCTGGTACAAAATGCATGACTGGATAGGAACCCTGAGGTCATCTTATACATTGTAGCAGAACTTGATGAAGCTATGGAGACTTTCCCAGAGTTCCCAGAGACAGCTCCCTGGGAAAAGGCAGCCAGAAGACCTGAATTTTAGCCTAAGGATTCACAAGGGAGCAGAGAACTCTCGCAGGTTGCTGTTGGACCTCCACATTCAGTGTAGCGTGTATGTCCAGGCATGTGCACACCCACACACATAAATAACTGGGATTCCTGAGTTCAAGGCTAGCCTGGTCTACAGGCTACAGGGTGAGTTTCAGGTCAGCAAAGCTACATAAAAACACTGTCAAAAAAAAAAAAAAAAAAAAAAAAAGGAGGGAAGGAAGAAAATCTGACCCCTAAAAAATCAGTGAATTGTTAGGTTTGGTCAGACAGTGAATAATAAAAGCTTTATTTCTATGATGATAATGATTTCTTCCTTCTCTTTTGAGACAGTGTCTCAAGTATCCCAGGCTGGACTTGAACTTCTGATTCTCCTTCACCTCTTCAGTGCTGGGACTACCGGTGTGCACCGCTATGTCTGGTTTATGTGGTGGGAGAAATGGAACCCAGGGCTTTGTACAGGATTTCATCCCCATAGTTAAGGTTCTTAATTAACTAATTAATTTTGTTTTTTTGAGACAGAGTTCCTCTGTGTAGGCTGGAATTCACTTTGTAGATCAGTCTGGCCTCAGATTTACAGAGATCCGCCTGCCTCTGCCTCCCGAGTGCTGGGATTACAGATGTGTGCCACCATGCCCAGCTTCAGCTGGTGCTTTTAACCACCATCTCTCCAGCTCTCATATTTTTTATTTTTATGAGATAGGGTCTCATGTTGCCCAGGCTGGCGTTGAACTCTTGTTCTTCCTGCCCCTACCTCCTAAGATCTGGGATTATCGACACGTGCTACCATGCCTGGCCTTTTTTCTGTCTTTTACTTTTTGCGTATGGGTGTTTTGCCTGCGTGCATGTCTGTGCACTGTATGTGTGCTTGGTCCCTGTGAGGGGCAAAAGAAAGTGTTCAATCCCTTGGGACGGGAGTTGCAGACAGCTGTGATCCTCCGGGGTGCATGAGTGGAATCCACGGGAGCTGGGGTTACAAGTGGTCCTGAGCTGCACAGTGTGGATGCTGGGAACTGGACAGTTGAAGAGCTGTTCTACATTTCTACCACCAATGTGCAAAAAATTTGGTTTCTCTGCAGCTTAGTGTTTGTTTTGTTTTTGGATAATAGTTATTCTAATGGGTGTGAAACAATATAATTTGCATTTCCCTTGTGACTAGTGATGTTGAACTTCTAAATTGGTCATCTATATATCTTTAGAGAAATGACCAAGCTCTTTGCTTTTTTGGGTGTGAGGTGAGGTTCCACTTTGTAGCTCTGGCTGGTCTTGAACTTGCATTGATCCCCCTGTCTGCTTTTTATTTTTATTTATTTATTTTTTTGAGAAGGGGTATCTCTCCACAGCCCTGGCTGTCCTGGAACTGACTATCTATGCCAGATTGGCCTCAAAGTTACAGAGATTTGTCTGCCTCTGCCTTTCAATTGCTGGGATTAAAGACCATTATGTCTGACCTGATTTTTTTTTTTTTTTTTGTTAATAGTCTCAAGTAGTTTGCAGGCGGAGTTGCATGCCTAGCTCATGGGAGTCGGAGGCATAGTTCAAGGCCAGCCTGATCTACAGAGTGAGTTCCAGGACTGCCAAGGCTACACAGAGAAGCCCTATTTCCAAAAACAAACAAACAAACCAACCCCCCAAAAAACAAAAAAAAAAACCAAAAAAAAAAAAAACCAAACCAAACAAATGCCTTGCCATAACAGGCAGATACATTGGTATTCAGCTATATAAGACCTAGCCCATGGTAAAAGGTTTTTCGATATTTGGAGGTAGGATAGAAGAGGGTAATTTCAGTGATTATACTGGAGATATAATTAGCACCCTAATTTATTACAATGTAGTTTGAGTTGATACCAACATAATTTTAGAGATATAAGAACTATGCTTCTGTATAGCTTTCTATATGTATGTCAACAGGTTTATAATTTTCTTTGTTTTTGATTTTTCTTTTTTTTAAAATTTTTTTGAGTTTATTTATTTATTATGTATACAATATCTGCATGTGTGCCTGCCAACACCAGGAGAGGGCACCAGATCTCATTATAGATGGTTGTGAGCCACCATTTAGTTGCTGGGAATTGAACTCAGGACCCCTGGAAGAGCAGCCAATGCTTTTAACCTCTGAGCCATCTCTCCAGCCCTTTTTTTTTTTTTGTTTTTCAAGACAGGTTTTCTCTGTGTAGTTTTGGTTGTCCTGGATTCACTCTGTAGACCAGGCTGGCCTCAAACTCAAAAGATCAGACTGTCTCTGCCTCCCACAGTGCTGGGATTACATGCCTGGTTTTTATTTTTCTCTTTTAAGCTAAAAATTTGAGACCTAAAGTTAGGAGGTAGTGTCCATGTGTTTAATCCCAGCACTTGGGAGGCAGAGGCAGTTGGATCTCTGTGAGTTTGAGACCAGCCTGGTCTACAAAGAGAGTCCAGGACAGCCAGAGCTACACAGAGAAACGTTGTCTTGAAAAAACAAACATCAGAAACCAAACCAAACCAAACCAAAAAGAACTGAGAGTGAGCTTGGATTTCTGATCCTCCTGCCTCCTTCTAGGTTCTAGCATTACTGGGATGCATTAGCATGCTAGGTTTATTTGGTCTGGGATGGAACCCAGGGCTTCATGTATGGCACAGCACTGATCAGACTGTATTCTAGTCTACATTGCATTATTTGTACTTGTAACTCCCTCCTATTTCCCCTCTAGACCCTGACTCCGTAAGGAATTTTGTCTTAACCTGTATTTATATTTTTAGGAAATGATCCCTTATGCTGAATGACTCTAGTAAATTTATCATTTTTTTAAAAAATTTATTTTATGTTGGGTTTATGCGTGTTTTGCCTTCGTGTGTGTGTGTGTGTGTGTGTGTGTGTGTGTGTGTGTATGCGCAGACATAGGTGTGTGTATGTGTACCATGTGTGTGCCCGGTGCCCACAGAGGCCAGAAGAGAGCACTAGATCCCTTGGGACTAAATTATGGATGGTCATGAGCCACATGGTAGGTGCTGGGGATCAAACCTGGGTCCTCTGCGAGAGCAGCTGGTACTCCTCACTGATGAAGCATCTCCCCAGCCCCCAAATCCTCAGTTTTAATAAAACAAAACACCGGCAGACATCTCTGTGCGCTTGTTTTAAAAACTTAGGCCGCAACCTCCTTTCCAACCCCCCAACCCTAGGTAGGAGAGAGAAGGTTAGTGGGTAGAGGGGCGCCAGACCCCTTTACTTCTCCCAGCTGTTTAGGGTTGAGGGGTTCATTTAGGGTTCTACCAATCTCCTCAACAGCAAACAGCAAGTCTCCTTCAAGACACCGAGTCCTGAAGTGTTTCTCTCTGTGTGCTCCAAACCACCACACCGTCTCTCTCTGCTCTTTCCAAACTGCTAGTGGCCACACACCAGCACCACATGCCACCTCTTCTTTTTCCCTGCTCTCAATTTATATCCCCAGAGCCCCAGGCCACGCCCCTCTCCATGCCAAAGGCATGTGGCAGGCTGTTAGCAGCTGGCAGAAATCTTGCCCTACACTAGACAATTAACAGTTGTGGACTATGGCCCAACTAAAATCCCACACATGGGATTTAAACAAAAACATATTTACATAACATAACTGAGTTTACAAAGAAACCTAAACTTGCATCTCTCATTTGGAAACCATTTCAACAGATCAAACCTTAGATGAAATAAAACATTTTTATCCCTATTTTGTCTGAAACGGGTCTCTGTGTGTAGCTCAGGCTTTCTTGGAACTCGTAATCCTTCTGCCTCAGCCTCCCTGTAAGAGACGTGATCAGAGATGTTTATCAGAGATGTATTAGAAACATACATAATCCGAAGCTCATGGAACACTCAAAAAAAAAAAAAGCACATTAAGATTTAAGATTCTAACGCCTTTCTCCAGCTCACCTGCCTCTCCTTCCTGCCTTTGAGGAAATGGGGATTGGGTTTCGCTTCATAATACACGGTGCAGTCATGACACTGGACTTTAATCTTTAATCTATAGAAGAGCAACCAGACCTCATAGATTTTTCTATTTCATGTAGTTTATGACTAGAGAAGCCAAGAGTAGACGCAACCCTTTCTGACTCTTTTTGTGTGTATGTGTGTGTGTGTGTGTGTGTGTGTGTGTGTGTGTTTATGTGTGTATGTGTATGAGTGGAGACGCATGTCGTACAGCAAATGTGTGTCTGGTCTTGAGAGTTGGTTCTCTCCCGCCACCTTGTGGGATCTGAGGATCATCAAACTCTGGTCATCTCTCTACCCATTGAGCCATCTTGCTGGCCCTCAATAAGCTGTTTTAATTTTTTTTTTTTTAATAAAAAATAAAAAGGTCTAGGTGACTCTAGACCATGTTTTGTGCATGTATATATGTATGTATGTGTCTGCACATACATGTGCCCATGCACACCATGGTCCGGAGGTCAAATGACCTCCAGGAGTCGGCTCTCCCTCCACCACGTGGGTCCAGGGAACCAGGAGGCATGCCAGCAAGTCACTGTGCCATTCCCAATGGTTTGGGGTGGTTTCTTTTTTTTTGAATACTGGTGTGTGCGTACATGGGTGAATACAAGTGCCCTCAGAGGCCAGAAGAGAGCATTGACTCTCCTGGAACTGGAGTTACAGACTGCTGTGAGCCATCATGTGTGTGCTGGGAGTCAACCCCCAGATCTTTTGACACCAGTGAGTGCTCTTAACCACTGAGCCGTCTGTCCAGTGGCCAACCCCACCCCCCATTATGCTGTTTTCGTTGGTTCAGAGCTCTTCTACTGGTTCTACCTCCAGTATTAGAACTAGAGGACCTTTGAGATAATCTGTTCTTTTTTTGATCTCTTAAATGTGCGTGGGGTCCTGAGGTGGCTACCTGGGTTCCAGTACGGATCCCAGAGCTGCCGCTGATTAGCCTTGTGATGTTGGGAGGTTGTTGATACACGTGTATTTCTTTGTATGAGTAGGGTGACACACCTCAGTTATTCAGTGGCACTCTGGCTACGTGAGGTTTAAGTGGTTGGTTCCTTTACCCAACAAGACCTCTGTTATTAGCATAACTTGGATGTCTGAAAGTGGCTGTTAACAAAGGACAGAACACTCAAGTCCGAATTCCAGGAGGTTTAGGAACTCTTGCCAGGAGCCAGACTTGAAGGCTAAATATGTATTTCTTCTCCCTTTGAAACAAGGTCTCACTGTGTAGCCTTCATTGTATAGCCCAGGCTGGCCTTGAACTCACAGAGGTCCACCACTTGTATCTCCGAAATGCAGGTATTAAAGGTGTGTACTACTGCCTCATACGTAATTCTTACTGTTTCCCAAAGTCACTGGCACACCCCTCTCTACGTGTGGACTCTGACTCCTGACAATATTTTTCTTCTTCCAGAGGAACCAGGCTAGCATCTCCCAGTGGGTTCCGGTATGCAGCCAGCTGGTATCAGCGTCCCCTACCCAGAGGCAGTGGGGCAGGGCTCCCGCCAGCACATCCCAGGTAAAGTTTGTTCTTTTGGCTGGTATGAAACCTTATTATTCCTGTGCACACTGCACTGTGGGCTGGAGAAGCCGCAGACCACTCTGTGCCTCTGCGCTCGCTTCAAGGGAGGTTCTGTGAGTATCATGTCCAGGGCGTTGCTCCGAAATAGCCAGCAGCGGAGCCTAGCCCAGGATACCACGTTACAGTCTGATGGTTTTTACTGTTAGGGACTTTTTCCAGGTATTCATCCTAGAGTTAGCTTTTCAGTTTTCTGTTTGAAATTACTTTGTGCTACTTTTCTTTGGGCGACAAAATACTCCCTTTTCTTTATGACCATAAAATCCAAGATGATTATTTAAGGCCTTAGTTACATTGACCACAGGGATTATTATGATGTCTTGAACTTTAGGCTTTTTAAAGGGTTTTAGTTTTTTAATTATTTTGTCAGTCATATAGCACTTTTTTTTTTTTTTTTATTTTTGTTTTGTTTTTCAAGGTGGGGTTTTTCTGTAGACCAGGCTGGCCTCTAACTCCGGGATCCACCTGTCTGCCTCCTGAGTGCTGGAGTTAAAGGTGTATGCCACTACTACCTGGTTTAGTCATATAATACTTTAGTAATAAAGGAAATAAACATCACCTGTTACTTCAAATCTGAAAATGTCAATATTTTCATCTTTGCTGGGCCTCTTCCATTCTTTATGGAAATGTGTGCATATTAATTTTTCCCATTAGTACCCTGACAGGGCTGGGGTATAGCTCAGTTTCTTACACGCCTGAGGGACTGGGTTTAGTCTCTAGCACTAAAAAAAAAAAAGGAAATAGCTAAGTACCTTAACAAATACCAAATAAACATGTTATATATTCTGGTGCCTTTTCACATACTGGAACAGATGTTACTCGTGTTGTTTAGATAGTCTTTATTATACAAATTGTAAATTGCCTTCTTTTTGGCATTATAGGCTTAATTTTCTTTTCTTAGCATATTTTTTCTCTCTCTCTTTCTTTCTTTCTTTCTTTCTTTTTTTTTTTTTTCTTCGAGATGGCCTTTCTGTATAGTCCTGGCTGTCTAAGATCTACCTATGTGGACCTGGCAGGCCTTGAATTCACAGATCTGCCTGTCTCTACCTCCCGGAACTGGGGTCAAAGGGATATGCTACCATGCCCAGCATACTTTTTTCATATTTTTAATAGGGAGTTTGAGCACCCTAATAATCACATGTAAGTGTAGTCATGTAGTATTTGGCTCACTTATTTTACTTAGCTTAAGTTTTTTTTTTTTTTTTTGTTTGATTTTTTTTAAGGTTCATTCATACCATAGTATGGAACAGGATTTCTTCTTGTGCAGGCTGGCCTCATGTTTCTTTATATACTGTTTTTTGTTTATCAATGGGATTCATAGGATGTTTGGATTGCTTCTATACCTCTTGTTGTTGTGAGTAATGTTATAGTGGACATGGGTGCGTAAAAAAATTTCTGTTTGACCATGCTTTTGGATGTATGTCCAAATTGGATTGCTAGATTATGTAATAATTCTCTTGCTGGTTCTTGGCTCCAGCAATCATTACAGCGGCATTGCCTGGAGTAGATTTCCTCTTTCTGTTAGTCCTGCCGTTATTGACTGAGAATTTATTTATTGAGACAGGCTCTTTCTTTATAGACCAGGCTAACCTTCAGCTCAGAGCTCCGCCTGTCTCTGCCTCTGCGGTGCTGGGATTAGAGGCCTGTGATACCACACCCAGCTTTGTAATTGCTATTTTTGTTACTATTTAAGCTCATGCTGTTTGAGTAAATTTCACTCACACTACAAAGCAAAAATTAAGAAATAAAAATTACCTAACCTAACTTCACCACATTGTAGCCTCTCCCTTGGTTTTCAGTTTCCTCATCTATGATGTGAAAAAGTTGGACGGGGAGACCTCCGTAGCCTCTTCCAGCCCCAGTGTTATTCCAAGTTACTCCTTAATTCTTCAGTTGCTTTTCCTCCAAGCTAAACAACTTCAGTTCATTTTAACCTTTCCACTAGGACCTTTTATTCCTCCCTTTGATCATTCTGTGGTTCTTTTTTGGACCTTCTCCAGGTTGTCCTTCTCTTTGAACAAAATAGAAGAAAAAAAATCTACCTAGTTTTTATTGAGTACTGATTCCATGCCCAGAATGGTGTTGAGCACTGGGGCGGAGAATAAAAGGAGTGCAAGTGGGCTGCTCCCTGGTGGGGCTTACAGTTCTGCCGACCTGCGAGACACACCACACATGTACCCACGGCAGTCAAGAGATGCGTGAGCCTGCCCCTGCCCCGCTGCCCCGCTGCCCCGCTGCCCCCCAAGCTTCCAAGACCTCTTAGATGTTGTTGTTTTATTTATTTGTTGACTCGTGTGTCCCAGGCTGCTCTTGAGTTCACATTGGTGAGGATGACCTTGAACTGCTGGTGGACCTGCCTCCATCTCTGCTGAGGATGGAGCTCAGGGCTGGCTCTACGCCAGCCAAGCATCCTCGGCCCTCAAGCTTTTTGGAACATAAGTGTGAAATTGTTTTTCAACTTTCACTTATTTTAGTATGTGTGTGTGAGTGCAGGTGGACATGTGCTGTAGTTCTCGTGGGACAGTCAGGACGGCTGTCAGGAGTTCACTCTTGCCACCTTGTGGGATCTGGATTGAACTCAGGTTGCCAGGCTGTGTGCAAGGGCCTCTGCCAGCTGAGCCTTCCTGCTCTCCTGTTGCATGAAATCTTACATTCTTTTCATTCTTTCATTCCCTCGTTCTGTCTGTCTTTCTTTTTTTCTTTCTATCTATGAGATAGGGTCTCACCATGGAGCCCTGGCTGTCCTGGAGCTCACTCTGTAGACTAGGCTGGTCTTGAATTCAGAGATCTGCCTGCTTCTGCCTCCTGAGTGCTAGGGTTAAAGGCCTGTGCCACCACTGCCTGGCTGAGAAGGCCTCTTTGAAAAAGCAATATTCCAAAAAAAAAAAACCAAAAAGTAGTAGTATTCCATTATTTTGTTCATTAATGTCTCTTCAGTTTGAAAGATAAAACATTGAGGTCTTCCAGAGTCTTTTTTGAAGGGAGCGAAGGCAGGAAGGGTGGTCCTAAAGGTAAATGCGTGTGTGTGTATCTTCAGGCCAGTAGGAAGGCATTGGTCCACAGACTCTTCAGCAGTTCAGTGAAGAAGGTAGGAGTCAGCCCACTGACCACTGTGAAGCTCTGGGGACAGAGAAGGATGTCTAGCCTCATGCTAACAGAGAGAAGCCCAGCACTTGCTCAGGCTACACCGGCCGCATTCTTTGAGGCAGTGTAAGGGCTTTGTGTTCTAGATGGGCCATTCCACTGATGTATGTGATGTCATGGGAGGTGTCCTGTGTTTAGTCTGTACTTCACAAAGCCTGCTTGGTACTTGAGAATTACAGCATAAGTGTCTCTGGGACTGCAGAGGAGTTCTGACTAATCTTTTAATATCCTTGTTTGGAAAGAAATACAAATAGTACTAGTCCACAATGAGAAACTATTTTTTCTTTATAAGATGAAACAGGAATATCATTGTTAATTCTATTTATCACTTCTCTTTTTGGAATAAACCAGAATTGAAGGATTAATCCTCTATTCCCTCCCCCCTCACCCCCCCCCTTTGTTTTTGAGGCAGTGTCCTGGCTGAACTTGCTATGTATGTAGACTAGGTTGACCTCAAACTCAGAGATCCACCTGCCTCTCTGCCTCCTGAGTTCTGGGATTAAAGACGTGTGCCACCATGCTCTGCTCCCACCTCCCCAACCCCCTTTTAATTGTAAAGGCAATTAAGACATACTGGGAATTTGGACATTGAATTTCCAAACTTATCTGTAATTCATTCTTCCCTTCCCTCCTTTCCCACCACTCTCCTCCCTCCTGTGGTATAGGAGATCACACCCAAGGCCCTCCCCATGTTAGGCAAAATGTTCTACTACTGAGTTACATTCCTTGTCTGCTACCCACAATTCCAAGTTAATCAAATAACCCTTTCATTTCTGTGTGTTGCTTTTTAGGTTTACCCACATACATTCATGATTTTGCTTGTAATTTTACTTAAAATGAAACAATGTTGTATTTTTCATGTTAATCGTTAGTAGAAAGTGTGGACTTCGAGCGGATGGGTAGTCAAAGTAGGTCATTGTCATAAAGTACCACTGTAAGGTGGGGTGCTGACAGTGGGAGAGAGTGTGTGTAGAAAAGGAGGAAAATGTATATGGGACCCTGTGCTTCCTGCTCAGTTTTGCTGTGAACCTAAAACCATATTAAAAATAACACTATAGCCAGGTGTAGTGGCCTATGTCTTCAATCCCAGCACCCAGGAGACACAGACAGAGACAGGTGATCTCTGTGAATTCAAGCCCAGGACATCCAGAAGAACATAGGGAGGCCCTGTCTCAAGAAGAACAACAGCAAAATACTGTCATCTCAGCACTTGGGAAGCAGAGGTAGGAAGAGGCCAGCTTCAGCTACCTTGTGAGTTTGAGGCTAGTCTGGTTCATATGAGACTCTTTCTAAAAATAGATGAATAAAAAATAAAGCAAAATAACAATGGGATGTTGTAGCATAGGGGGGGGGCAGCATTGCAAGACCTCGATTCTGTCTGTCTGTCTGTCTGTCTGTCTATCTATCTATCTATCTATCTCCAGTTTTGAAAATTTGATCCAGTGGCAGAATGGTTGACCTACAAGCACAATGCCCTGGGTTTGATCCTTAATTATCTAATTTTGCAAGTGATTGTACCTTCATTTACTGTCTCTTAATGGATATTTCTACTTTCACTCTTGTAGTGCTTATGTATAATTTTCTCTTTAGAAATTTATTTTCCAAACTGTATTCTTGATTATAACAGTACCAACCGAATAGAGTTGTAGGGTGGATTAAAGAAGGAAATGTATGTAAAGCATTTAGCCTAGCCCTGGTACAAGACCGTAATTGGTTGTGTGTTGCCACACTGTTGTCAAAGGCAGCATGACTATGAAGGGAAGGCACTTGTGATCTGGTGGTAACTGCGACTTCATTTGCTTATTGAGTACCTGTTTTGTGAGATGCACTTTCCATACTTTTCCTATTCAGGCCTCACTATAACCAAACTGCACTGAGATTTTAAGTGGCAGAAGCAGGGATTGTTTGTTTCTTGTTTTATTTTTAAATTAAATTTATTTTATTTTATGGTGTTTTCTCTGCATGTATGTCTTTGGGAGGGTGTGGGATTTTCTGGAACTCACAGACAGTTGGGAGCCACCATGTGGGTGCTGGGAATTGAACCTTGGTCCTCTGGAAGAGCAAGCAGTTCTCTTAACTGATGAGCCATCTCTCCAGCCCCACGTTTGTTTGTTTGTTCATTTTGGTCTTTTGAGACAGAGTTTGTTTGTGTAGCCCTGGCTTTCCTGGAGCTCACTCTGTAGACCAGGCTGGGTTCTAACTCACAGAGATCCTCCTACTGGCAGAAACAGGTTTTAAAATTAAAATTGATGCTCCCTCTCCCATGCATGGAATGGCGTCAGCATCCACATGGAAACCTATTATGGTTCTCTTTCTTATTATAATTTTATTTCTCAGATTTGACTCACATTTAATTTGTATTTCTAGGGCTGAATTCTTTTATTTCTTAAAGAATTATTTTTTTTTTTAATTTTGTTTTTTGGGACAGTCTTACAGTATTCTCTGGGCTGGTATTGAACTCATAGCAATCCTCCTGTCCCAGCCTTCCAGAGACTGCAGGTGTGAGCCATCACATCCTGTGTCACGGATTTAGTAGACATTTATTGAGCACCTGTCGTGCACCTTATGCTTCACCAGAAGCTGGGCTAAACGCAGTTGGGTTAACGTTGCTGAGTCATATCCCGTGTCACTTACATCCCTGTTTCTCCTCCAGCGGCCCCAGGTGAATCAGGCTCACTTCTGTGCCGGATCAGAGCAGACTGCTGGAGTGGACACTCTGCAGAGTAGGAGATACCACACTACGAGTAGGGTGAGTGGGTGCTCTGCACTAGACTGCTTGAGTGAGCACAGGTGGTGACATCCAGGGCTTTCCGAGCTCACAGAGGACGGGAAGACAAACTACCTGAATATGTGAACCCACGTCTTCTGAGTTTGTACCCTGAGGTTTTCACTCTAGGCCCTTGTCTAGAAAGTGCTTTAGAGGTAAACAGTTTTTTATGGATTTTGTACAAGTTAAAAACAGTGATATGAAATCTTGCAAGATTTTCTTACCGGGTGACTAATCTACCTTTCTTTGTAGGGGTGTTTGAATAGGGTTTTCTAGGATTTTTTTCCCTTCCTTTCTCTTCTTTTCCTCGATCTTTCCCAGTCCCTTCCACTCACCCCTTCTCCCCATCCTTTGCCCCTCCCTTCCATTTCTCTTTCTCCCCTCCCTTTCCCTTTTATCTTATTTAATGCGTAATGAATGTTTTGCCTGTGCATAGGCTTGCACATTGTGTGTGTGCCTGGTGCCCTCAGAGGCCAAAGAGGCATCAGATCCCCCAGAACTAGAGTTATAGACAGTTGCTAGCTGCTATGGGGGTTCTGGGAATTGAACCCAAGTCCTCTGGAAGAGCAGTCAGTGCTGTTAGCCACTGAATCACCTCTTTCCCCTGGCATGTTTACTCTAATACCACAAGGCTGTTCTTTCCCACTCTTGGGATCACAGGCACATGGCTGTTGAGGTGGGTATGTTTTGCTCTGTATTATGGAGGATGTCTGTTAGATACCATTTCAGATGTGTTTGCACGCCTACTGGAGGGCTCTGAGTCTGACTCCATGAAAGAGCGCTTGCCCCGGCATTTGTGAAGCCCTGGGTTTGACCTCCAGCACTGCAGTAAAACAGAACAGAACACTCAAAGCAAACAAACAACCAAGTCCCCAAAAATCATTAAAAAAGAAATCAAGAGGTCAGGCAGAAAAGAACTCAAAGTGAAAAGAAATCTAAGCAATAAAAATGTCCTCGGAGTGAATAAATAAAAGCATTCTGTTTAGAAAACTTCTTGTAACTAATTTTGATTTCTTTCTCTTTGGTTAAGAAGCTTTCTACTCCCCAAGATTTCCCGAAGCCTGTTGAGGAGAAGGTTGGACCCTTCACGAAGATAATAGAAGCCATGGGATTCACTGGACCTTTGAAATATAGTAAATGGGTAAAGTGTTTTATATTCCTCTGGGTCTGAGTCCTTTCTGTTGCTCATAGATTTGTCTTAAAGCTTCTGGGCTGTGAAACTCACCCATTATTTTGAGAATTTCCTCAGAACGAATCCCTCTAGTCTCTATTTAGGTTTATGAGGTAGATAAGACCATGCCACTCCTTCAGCCTGATTCTTTGCACTTATCTCCAGGTGCTGGTAGGGTGGCGAGGTGGAAATTTTCAGGCCAGTGTTTTGTTGCACACAACAAATGTATCAAGATGAAGTTAAAGAGACAGATGGGCCAGCCGCTCCGATGGGCTGCGTCCTTCAGGAGGCATTGCTCTCTAAAGGACTGGTTTTCGCCATTGATTTCTAACAGCCCATTCTAGTGATTGTCTTTAAAATTTTATAAATAAGCAACTTATGAAAAATTGATCTTGTGACTTACTATAATACATCTTACGGGGGGCTGGTGAGATGGCTCAGTGGCTAACAGCACTTGCTGTTTTTCCAGAGGACGTGGGTTTAATTCCTAGCACCCACATGACAGCTAACAACTGTCAATAACTCCAGTTCCAGGGGATCCGACACCCTTTCACAGAGGTACATGCAGGCAAACCACCAATGCACACAAAATAAAAATAAATAATTTAAAAAAAAAAACATATTGTAAAGGTATATTTCCTAGCTAGCTGGTCATTTCTAGTCAACGCTTGGCCTCGCACCACATTATCTGTTACACAGAAGGTACTGTATGAATGAAAGTCCTTCCAGCACAGCAATGAACCGGTCTCTTAGTCCAGTCATGGCCTCGCCTACAATGACCATTTTCCTGTGTCAGTATGGAAGAATGTCTTTTAATTCCTTCTAGGGTTGCTGAAAAGCTAGACTTAACTCAATAACTGGAAAGTTATAAATCAGCACAAGCTAATTCAAGGCACTGGGGAAGCTTTTCTAGGAAGTATTGTAACTACTCAAAACAACCAAGGAAAGTGCCAGATACACCTTTGGTTTTTTTGGTTACTTGAGACAGGGTCTCACTTTGTGGGGTTGGCAAGAATGGAACTTGCTTGTAAACAAGGCTGGCCTTGAACTCACAGTTCTGTGTCTTTGCCTTCCCAGGCTTGGATTAAAGAAGTGTGCCACCATGCCTGGCCAGACACACTCTTTTAAAGGAAAGGAGTCAAGTTGAATTTCCAGTGTTAGATCTGGTTTTTGTTTCCTTGAACAAGCTTTCATTGTGGACTGTGGAACTCAACCGTAGTCAAGGCTAGTCTTGAACTTCTGATCTTCCTCCCTGCCCCCATACTTTCCCTCTTGAATTACAGATGCAACACCCTCTACCTGGCTACTTTTGCTTTCTGGTTAGTTGATTTTCCAGCAGTTCTCATGGCAGCAGGTACAGGCTTTGTCTGCAGTTCCTGTTGACAAGTTCTGAGAAGTCAACAATGACTGCGTGCTTTGTCGATGGCGGCTTTCAGATATGGAGAGGCCACAGATGCTCAGTGACGGTGATATTCTTAAGAGACCTGCAGTCTCTTCTGAGTCATCAAGGAAATAATTGTTTTCATAAAAGTTTTATACGTGCAGACTTCTTTATTTTATTTTATTTTTTTGTGACAGGGTTTCTCTTTGCCGCCTGGCTGTCCTGGAACCAGGCTGGCCTTGAACTCCCAAGTGCTGGGATTAAAGCTGTGTGCCCCCACACCTGGTTTAAAATTCTTGACAGTTGATAAATTGTTGTTATATTTGATTACGAATCAGACCTTTTCTCCTTGTTTTAAATTTTAGTGTTTTTTTTTTTTCTTTTGAGATGTGGCCTCATACTATAGGCCAGGCTATCCTAGAACTCATAGCAGTCTTCTGTCTCAGCCCCCAACTGTTGGGATTACAGGTGTAAACTATCATGCACAGCTTTTCCTCTGTGTGTTATTTTTCTTTTTCTTTTTTCTTTTTGTTTTTCTTCATTTTGACTTGGTTTGGGTTCTTTGAGACAGAGTTTTCTTTATGTAGCCCTGGCTGTCCTGGAACTCACTTTGTAGACCAGGCTGGCCTCAAATTTGGAGATCTGCCTGCCTCTGCCTCTCAAGTGCTGGGATTAAAGGTTTTGTAAAAGTATGCACCACCACCCCCGGCCTACTTAGGACTTTTGAAATTATGTTTGTTTGTGTGTGTGTAGGTGTGTGCATTCGATGGAGAATGGGTGGAGGACATAAGGGGGGGGGCTCTGTTCTCTCCTTCCACCGTGTGACCCTGGGGGTTGAACTTAGATCATCAAGTTTGGTGGCAAGCACCTTTATTTTCTGAGCTGTCTTGCTGGTCCTTCCCTCTACTTCAGAAGAAGTTGTAGCTATGCCATTTGTCATATAAAACTTAAAAATTAGAAATAAATGGATCTCTTTGAGTTCTACACAAGGATGGCCTTAAACTTACAAAGATCTACCTCCCTCTGCCTCCCAAGGGCTGGGATGAAAGGCATGTGCTGTCCGGTCCACCGGCCCCCTCTCCCACCAAAAAAAAAAAAGAAAAAGAAAGATGGGAAGAGTAACTTATTTATTCATGTCTTAGTGATTGGGTTCTGCCTGGTTGCCTCTATAAACTTTGTCTAGTCTTATGGCTTTTGTTTGTTTGTTTTAAGTGATTTTAGAGGGCAAATTGGCCATATTTGAAGGATGATAAGACCAGTGGGAAAATTCTTACTTTTATAGCTGAGGTTAGCCTCTGATTTTTCTTGATTTCCTTTGTGACCTCAAATAAATGTTTACATTTAAAAATATTTTATTATGTGACAATTTTTATAGCCTTCATTTTAAAATTTGTTGCATCAAGATATTACAGAATAACATTTATGACTTTCCGTTTCAAAAGGCTTATAGGTAGGTTCTTTGCAGCTCTGTTAACTCAGAATTTGTGGCCAGATACTTGTATGGGCAAGATTCCTTGTTTGTTTTTTCATATGTATTTGGTTAGAGAGCAAAATATTTGTGTATTGATGTTTATGACCTACCTTTTCCCTATCTTTTTCTCTACTGTTTTCATGTATAGATTCCTATAGACTCATATTTAGACTTTATTGCTGCTAGGATCTAACTTGGAATCTTTCTTAGTCAATCAGTCTACCATGGAACAGTGTCCCTAGCCTATATTTAAAATTAAAAAAAAAAAATTTACTCACTTTACATCCCTATCGTAGCCCCCTCCCTTGTCTTCTCCCCTCCCACTCTCCTTCTCCCTCGCTGTTCCCCTAGTCCTCAGAAAAGGGGAGCCTTCCTCCTTTACCAACTGGCCACAGACTATCAGGTCTCTTCAAGACTGCCTGTGTCCCCTTCCTCTGTGGCTTGGCAAGGCTGACTCATCCGGGGGAAGTAATCAAGGAGCATTCACCAGAGTCCATGTCAGAGACAGCCCCTGTCCCTTACTAGGAGACCCACATGGAGACTTATTTAAGGTTTTAAATGTAGCTTTTCCTTACTTATTTGAGTGTCCTGAAACAACATTTTTCTTCTCTTTGTTTGATTGTTTTGTTTGAGACAGGGTTTCTCCTTGTAGCCCTAATTGGGTGCAAATTCACAAAGATTTGCACACTTCTGAGCCCCAAGTGTTGGGAGAAATAATAGATGTGCACCACCATGCCCAGCTCTTAAATAACTACTTTTCCCCCTAATTTTTGCATAGCAGTATCATGTAAGAACTAAAGAATGGTTGAAGAAAACTGTGGTGGCACTGGCCTTTAATCCTAGTACTTGGGTGGCAGAGACAGGCAGATCCCTGTGAGTTTGAGCTCTTCCTGGTCTGTATTAGCTAGCTTTAAGTCAGCCAGGGGGACATAGTAAAACACGAGCCACCACCCCCTAAAAAAAGAAAAAAGCGTAGTTGAAAGAAAAGCAAGGCTTAGTATAGAAAAGAGAAGGCATTATGAGCTCTCTTAGTATTGAGGGACAAGTGAACAGCACATGAATGAAGAGATGTCATCTGAGGTACAGAGTGCTGGATAGTGAAAGCCCTCCAGTAGGCCAGGTAGCTTAACAAGGTTGTTCTTGTTTGAACAGGGGCCCAGATTGTTGACCATGAATCAAGAATGTTTTTAAATTCCAGCAAACAGGACGTTCAACTGACCAAAGTAAAGATTTATTTATTTATTATTTATACAGTGTTCTCTCTGCATGTGAGCTTACAAGCCAGAAGAGGGAACCAGATCTCACGATAGATGGTTGTGAGCCACCATGTGGTTACAGGGAATTGAAATCAGGACCCTTGGAAGAACACCCAATGTACTTAACCTCTGAGCCATCTCTCCAGCACTCTCAACTGACAAACATAAAATCAAAACAAATCCCTGTGCAGCTCTCACACAGCCGTTAGCACAGTGCAGTTTCCCCATTGACTTCCCATTGTGTAGGAGGGTACGCATATCCCAGCACGTGGGAGAGCAGGCCAGGGTGTTCCTGTCATCGACAAGTGGCATGGAGAGCTCTCCCAAAGTGAGAATGAAGTAAACATGATGTCATCCAAGGACCGGAACAGCTTGTATTGACTGAGTGGAAATTTAGTCTGCTTCCTTCCTTCACTCACATTAATGCATGGTTCCCAAAGAGGTTCTTTCCAGTTGTTATTTCCAGTCCCTGTGTGATGGTCCTCAGAGACTTGCTTTAGAGCTTTGTCCAGGAAAGTGGCTCACCCAAGAATAAAGGCTTGGCTTTGCTACCGGAAAAGCAAAGAGAACTCTAAAATGTCCCTGATTACCATGGAGTGAGCACTGCATGAAGCTGCTGGAATCTGGTCAGGAGTCAGTATTTGTAGTGAATGCTTTTAAATGGGTGTGTTTTCTGGTCAAGTAGTCCTTACTTGTAATGGATGCTTTTCCATGGATGGATTTGAAGCCCGGGGCCTTGGAGACAAGTCTGCCTTTCCTGGGGCAGAGTGATTACGACCAAGAGGAGTTTATGTAGAAGGATATGAAGGGAGCTATAAGCACTGGGGGCTGGTGTCAAGAATTTAGTTAAAATTATAAATTTGTCTATAGTTAACCTGGGCTATCCATTGAACCAGGGCAGGAGTTTTTGTCCGTCTTGTTTATCCCTCAACCATACCGTTTAGATCCATGGCTGGAACTCAGTTTGGTATTCAGTGTTGAATGAACCTAAAGTTTTCTCTCCAGGATAGGAGAAGGCCTGCTAGAGTCAAAGGTATCAGGATAAGGTTGTCATTAGGCTGGTGATGGTGTAGCCCGAAGCTTTCTAAAATCTTCTTTGTTCCATGGCTAAACTTGCTCAAATCCTAGAGTTTTTGGTTTTTGTTTGTTTGTTTGGTGAGCTAGGGTCTTACTTTGTAGCCCCACCTGTCCTGGATCTCACTATGTTGACTCAGATCTGCCTACCTCTGCCTCCTCAGAGCTGAACCATAGCTCTGGGTGAAGATTGAGAGGAGCGCTTTCTCCCTCGTCCCTTCCTCAGTGAACCACACCGATTTGACAGTGTTGGGTTCAACTTTGCAGTTTTGCATAAATCTCTCGTACTGTGACGTGTTATACTCCTTAACTCTTGATGGGGTCTGTCTGTTTCTATGTGTTTTTACTTAATTTGTTTTGGAGATAGACTCACATGTAGTTGAGGCTTGAACTTTTGATCCAGCTTAGCCCCCGAGTGCTGGACTTACAGGCGTGAGCCACCACACCTGCTTGTTTACTTTTTCCTTTTGTTTCAGTTATTTGTTTTTACCACGTGTGTAAGTATTTTACCTGCACATGTGTGTGCCTGTGTGTCTTTGCACCACTTGCATGCCTGATGTTTGTGGAGGCCGGAAGACGGCATTGGATCCCTCGAAACTTAAGTTACTTAAGTTGTGAGGCACCCTGTGGGTGCTGGGAACCGAACCCCCGTCCTGTGTAAGAGCAGCCAGTGCTCTTAACTGCTGAGCCATCTCTCCAGCCCCCTTTTAAAGTTTGTTTGTTTGTTTTGTTTTTGAGATAGGGTCTTGTACTGTAGTCATGACTGGCCTGAAACTTGCTCTGTGGACTAGACCTTGAACGCTTTGAGTGGTGAGATGAGGGTCACGGGCCACTGTGTTGAGCTTGCCCTGTCATTTGAAGAGAGAAAGAGACTTGAACACATCCTTTGTTGCCGCACTGGTTTCTTCAGCCTTGAGACTCGCTGATGCGCCTATTCATGTATTACTGGCTTGGTCTTCAGACCAACTCGGCTCTTTAAGAACTGATTTTTGGTTTTTAGACTTGGTCTTACGATACAGTGCACATACATGAATTGCAGTGTGTTAGTACAGAGCTTGGTGCAAAACACCTCATTAGGGTCCTAGGGAATGATTTTTTTGTGTATGAATGCTTTGCTTGTGTATATGTATGTGTGTGTATCACACAAGTGTGTGTTGTCTGTGGAGGCCAGAAGAGGGTGTCAGAGGATCGTCACCCCCCCCATGTGGGTGCTGGTCCTTTGCAAGAGCAGTGAGTGCTCTTAACTGGTGAACCAGCCCCCTCAGCAATTTAATACTGTATACTAAGCACTTCATACTTAACACTTTGAGGCATAGTGAAAAGTACTGTGTGTTTATTAGAGAATTTTGTTTGTACACATAGGTTCTGTGAGTCTGCAGAAAAGACATGTCACCCTCCCCCAATCATAGACTAATAATTAGTAGGGCCTCTGAGGAAGGAGGAAAGAATTTCCTGGGTTTACATTCTTTTTAATTTTATTTTTAGAGGTGGAGTTAAAACGGAGAGTTTAAGGCTAGCTGAACTAAACCAGGTCCCAGACAACATGGGCTGCAAAAAAATAAAGAAATAAATTGCCCACAGATAGGTTTGTACCTCCTTCCAGCTCAAGAACTATGAGGTCTGCAGTCCGTAGCTAATGACACTAGAGCATCCTCTTGGTCATGTCTTGAGTTTGGTTTTATTTTTTCTGTCTAGAAAATTAAGATCGCAGCCCTACGCATGTACACGAGCTGTGTGGAGAAAACTGACTTTGAGGAATTCTTTCTGAGTAAGTGACTCTTGATTGTTCTGAAAGGAATGATCTACTGTTTATCTACTGTTACGTGGCTGTGGGTTTTAAGTTTTTGTTTGTTTGTTTGTTTGTTTTTTGTTATTTTGTCTTTTTTTTTTCCCCCAGAGCTGAGGACTGAACCCAGGGCCTTGCGCTTGCCTAGCAAGCCTACCACTGAGCTAAATCCCCAACCCCTTGTTTGTTTTTTAAAACATTTGTTTTGTGCTAAAACACTTGCTTTAAACATGTTGTATGTGTTTGTTTAGGCCAGAGGTCCACCTTGGTATCATCTTCAGAAGGACTGGCTTCCTCCTTTGAGCAGGGTCCTTCACTGGCCTGGAACTCACCAGTTAGCCTCCTTTTTTTTTTTTTTTTTTTATTACAGTTTATTCACTTTGTATCCCAGCTGTAGCCCCTTTCCTTCTCCCCTCCCAAATCACCCTCCCTCCCGGTTAGCCCACTCTCGATGCCTGTCTCTGCCGCCCCATTACTAGGTGTGCAAGCACAGGCCACAATGCCTAGCAGCTTACATGGGTTCTAGGGATCAAGTGGCCATGCTTGCATGGCAAGCACTCACAGGCTGAGTCACCTCTCTAGCCCTTTTTTTTTTTTTTTTTTTTTTTTTTTTGAGGTATTTTCTCTTAGAACTTGCTGTGTAGCTAAGGGTGACCTTGAACTCCTGATCCTACTGCCTCTGCCTCCCAAGTGCTAAGTTTATAGGCTTGTTCCACCGTGCCTGCTCTTAGCATTTGATATGGACTTTTTTTTTGGGGGGGGGTTCAAGACAGGATTTCTCTGTATAGTCTTAGTCGTCCTGGACTCGCTCTGTAGACTAGGCTGGTCTCAAACTCACAGAGATCCACCATCCTCTGCCTCCCTGAGTGCTGGGACCACAGGCAAGTGCCACCCTGTTTTGTTCTTTTTGAGGCAGGGTTCCTCTGTGTAGTTTTGGCTATCTTGGAACTAACTCTGTATATCAGGCTGGCCTCAAACACACAGAAATCTACCTGCCTCTGCTCCCAAGCCCGTGTACTAACGGCATGTGCCACCATGCCCCGCTTGATTGGACTTTTTGTCAGTTACTTCTCTTTTTGTTTCTAGTTTTTGATTGTTTAGTTAAGTCTGAAATAAATTTCATGATTCTTCTTTTTATTAGAGGGCTATTGGTCCCAAATGCTTATATAATTTTATTACTTACATCCCATTGATAAATTGCTTTCCAGGAAGATTTTACTGGCTTAGGTCACTATTAGCAGTTTTTATAGGATGCATTTTGATGTTCTAAGCTGTAATTATTAACATAGTTAACTAAAATGCATATTTGTAACAGCATAGGGAAATTGGAGCCATTTCTGTGTCCACAGACTTTAGATCGCTGTTTCTCAACCTTCCTAATGCTGTAAGCCTGTAATACAGTTCCTCATGTTGTGGTGACCCCAGCCACAAAATTATTTTGTTGCTACTTCATAACTGTAATTTTGCTACACTTATCATAATGGTTTTTTTTTTTTTTTTTTTTTTTTAATGGTCTTAGGTGACCCCAGTGAAAGGTTGTTTGACCCTGGAGGGGTTGCGACTTACAAGTTGAGAACCACTGCTTTAGAAGGAAATCTGTGCTCTGCTCTCACAGTGGAAGTCATACCCACAGAGAGCCAGGTTCCTGTCAACTTCCTGCAGCTGGTACTCTACTCTGGCAACAAGTATCTGTACATAATTAAGTTAACAAAAAGCACTAGATGCAGTTTTGATTGCCTAACAAGTCTGTTTATTGTTTAAATCTCAAATATCACTTGTTTTGGTTACTTCACTATTTCAGCAGATTAATATTAGGGACTTAAAATACAATACTAAGTTATAATTCTATCTTTTTTAAACTTTCTATTTTCTTGTTCATCAGGAAAGACAATTTCCCTATTTCCTTATAAACAAGCAGTTTTTAAACAAGCATTCAGGGAGGCAGAGGCAGGCAAATCTCTTTGAGTTTGAGACCAGCCTGATCTACAAAGTGAGTCCAGGACAGCCCAGACTACACAGAGAAACCCTGTCTTAAAAAACGAAAAACCAAAAGAAAAACCAAAACAAAAAGGTTGGTTTTTGTCTACCATGTGGATTCTGAGGCTCATACTCAGGTTGTTAGGGTTGGCAGCCAGCACCTTTACCTCCTGGTCCATCTTGCCTGTCCTAAACTGCTTCTAGTATACAAGAAATTAGTCCACAATGAGAAAATATACCTCCTTCACATGAGAAAGAAAATACTGAGTTGTGTTTTTTTTCCTTAAGTAGTTTCTGACATCCATGTACATTTCCCCTGACATTTTATTTTTTTTTTAGTTTACTTGATTTTTTTGTTAGCATACTTTTCATTTAGAAAGTAACATTAAAAGACAAAAGCAAAACAAAACAGCATATGTGGAGCTGGTGAGATGGCTCATAAATTAAGAGCACTTGCTGCTCCTCCAGAAAACCTAAGTTTGGTTCCCAGCACCCACATGTCAACACACAATTATCTGTAACTCCAATTCCAGATGCTCTGATGCCCTCTTCAGGCTTCTGTAGGCACAGCATACATATGATACACATACGTGCAGGCAGAACATCCATACATAGAAAAATAATAGTAATCTTAAAAAAAACCCAACAAACCCAACATAATACTTTGTGTTTGTGTTTGCAGTTCTGGGGATCTCACACATGAGAGCTTTGCTGAGCTCTCCTACCGGCTCCAAACTCCCACCTTATCTTTTCTTCATAGAAACATTATCCTCAAGGCTAGAGAGATAGTTCAGGGCGTAAGAGCACTTCCAGTGCAAGCATAAGGACCCGAGTTTGAATGAGTGAGTGAAGTTCTGAGTGAGAATGTGTAATTGACATGGACACGGCCATGTTAAGGATAGCCCCAGACCCATGGGGAAATTGGAGAGCCTCTTAGGATGAGGCTCAGAGGGAAGGCAGAGCTTTCCTCCAGCGTCCGAGCGCAGGTGTTCGAGGTGTGTAGGAAATGCCCACTATAGCTTTCTCCCTGCAGAAATGTACAGCTTGATGGCTGCTCCGGTACAGAGACCGTGTCTAGTGGGATAGCTACGCTTGGCTGCTTGAGCCATCAGTGTACCTTAAACTCTGCCTCTGCTCCGCGCCTCCAACTCTGCTTATATCTATATCATAAACACTCTGAGCTTCTGGGGTATTATGCTTTCTCTATAAGATCTCCTCCACCTGACCTAGCATTTCTGTCTGTGTCCATGTGTCCATCTGTTTGTCTTTTTTTCATTACCTCATTACCCCCATTCAGGTCAAGTCCCTTGAGCCATGTAAGAACACAGAGCCACATATGCCTGTAACCCCAACATTGGGGGAGGGGGGATGACAGCTAGTGGATCCTGGGAGCTTGCTGGTCAGCCAAGATGGTGAGTGCTCCCTGTCTCACCAGCATAAGGCAGAGAGCCTTAGGGGAAGACACTCATCTTTTCCTCTGGAGTCTGCATGAATATGAACTTCAGAGTGAACTTCAGAGTCATATGTATGTGCCACACACATACACACCACACATACACAAAAGAAAAAAACAAAAGTTTATTGTCAGATATTTAACACTTGATTCAATTAACTATTCATACTTATTATAATTATCTTAGACGAATGCTTACTTGTTTTCACTTATTGTTATTGAAGGTTACTCTTTTTTTATTTTAGTTTACATATTTGAATGTTTAATCTGCCTGTGTGTATGGTCACCACATGTGTGCAGTGCTCACAGAGGCCCAAAGAGAGCATTGGAAACCCTGGAACTGCAGTTACAGATACTTGCGAGCTGCCATGGCATGCTGGGAGCCAAACCTGGGCTTTCTGCAAGAGCAGCCAGTGCTCTTAACCACAGAGGCATCTGTCCAGCCCCCTACCAAAGATTCTTGAATTTGTATTAATATTATAGTATCACATAAAAGACAGTTATTACATAGATAGTTAATATTCATATTTCAGTTCATAGCTTACAGATTACCAACTTAAGAAAAGTTTCTGAAGGTTACAGTTGTATATTAATAGCTCACATGTATTTGCTTTCATGTTTGTCCCTTTAGAAGTTTCACAATCTTGTGGGATAGTAAGTGCTTGTATTATTGTTTATTTTTTGTGTGTTTAGAAATAGTTGAGGCTTAAAGAGGCTCCGTGACTTGCCCAGGATTGCCTGGCCAAGCCTTGCACCTGTGTTGTCTGGCTTAAACCTCAGGGATTTTCCCACTGTAACATGCTGCCTGTGAATGAATTCAACCACAGCTAGACACTGTAATGTGGCTTAATAATTTAGGTTTTGCTCTATTTTGATGAGATTCCCCCTTTGTGAGATGTTGTGTTAGTATTGGAAACTGATGTCTACGCACAATGGTGTGTGTCTTGGTGGGTTTCCCCCTGCCTTTGCCTGTCAGTATAAGTGGCAAGGAGTTTTCAGGTGATCACACTCTCCCTTCAGGTTTTTAAAGACTTAATTAGGCATTGACTATTAAAACCTATGGCATAGGGTGGACATGGTGGCACTTGGGAGGCCGAGACAGGCAGATTTCTCTGGGTTTGGGCCTGTTCAGTATAGCCAGTCCTGCATAGAGACATCCCGTTTGAAAACAAAAACAACACAGAAACTATAACATAAGTAGGCATTGTGGGGCATACTTGTAATCCTCATACTCAGAGGACAGAGGCATGAGGATTGCCATAAACCTAGGGTAAACCTGTTCTACGTACTGAGTTCCAGTCTAGCCAGGACTACCGAGTGAAATCCTGTTACAAGCAGCTCAACCTATGGCAGGTTTATTTGCTCTGCTGTGGCCCTTCACCTTGTTTTTTTTTTTTTTTTGGCTAGGTTTACATTTCAAAATCAAACCAAAGGAATTCCAAAGCGTGACTAGTGAACAAAGAGAATGGGTTTAGAAAGTACCATCTAGAGGCAAAAGATTTTTTAAAAAATCTGCAGACTAATGAGACTGACTCTTGTGGTTTGGAGTCTAAGGAGTTTAGAGGATGTTGGAATAAAATAAGGAAATTATATATTGCTTCCTGAGATGATACCTTTAAAGTGGCCATGCTCATTTAGGTTCTTTGATGTAGGGCTTGATTATATTGTCCTAAGGGCAGAGAGCCTTGGGCATCTGGCAAGGGTCATTCTCCCCAGCTGAAGTGATGTTGATTGCCATTTCTTGAAGACCGTATGTGAGCGAGTTGTTGGGTCATAGGATGTTGTGCCCGTCAGCTTGTTGTCCAGTCCTCCCTAAGATACCACAGTGTTTAATGCTCTGGTCTGAGCTCTGTGTACCTTAGTGCTCAGACACTTTGCCAGCTATTGTTTATGGGATGCCCTGACAATATCCTGCCTGTCACATGAACATGTCTGCCGTTATGCAGTTTGCTCCTGGTGTTTTGGAGCAGAGGTAGCCAATTAGCATTTTATAGGCCCTTTACCTGTTGTTTATCAATACAAAACCCTGAGGTAAGCCTTCTTGTTTTGCCCATTGACTTGTAGAGAAAAGAAAACTGGACCTCCTAGAAGAAACTTCCCTTAGATTTATTAGAAATAGCAGGGTCTAAACTGAGCGTGATGGTGCACGCCTTTGATCCAAGAACTCTGGGAGGCAGAGGCAAGTGGATTTCTGTGAGCCTGAGGTCATCCTGGTCTGCAAATCCAGTCTAGGACAGCCAGGACTACACAGAGAAACCCTGTCTCGAAAAACCACCACCACCACCACCAAAAAGTAACAGGGTTTAGATTTCATATTAAAAAGTGTAATATCACTGTCCAGTAACAATAATGGAATTACTATTAGTATTATTATTTTGGTTTTTTTTGAGACAGGGTTTCTCTGTGTAACAGAGCCCTTGCTGTCCTGGACTTACTTTGTAGACCAGGCTGGCCTCGACTTTACAGAGATCTGTCTGCCTCTGCCTCCCAAGTTGCTGAGATTAAAGGCATGTGCTGCCACCACCCAGCTAGTAATAGAATTATTTAATTTTTCTGAACTTTGTGTCAAGAAAGAGTCTAGCCTCAGAATAAAATAAGCTCCGATATATTGGAGCAGAGTGTGATCACGGTCAAGCGTCGCCGGGGTTAGCCCCTAAGTATGTGAACACTTTTTGTTGAGCTAACAATCATATTTTTGTTTTACTCATAGTCAACATTCACTTGTTGGTTTGATAGTTTTGAGGTTTACCGTGTGGGTTTCCGTTCTGACCTCCACAGGCACAGGAACTTACTCATGTGCCAGCTCTTTTCTCATCAGCCCCGAGCTGACCCCTAGAAGGGAGAACTGTGACCCAGGGCCAGCTGCTGACCTGTCTGTCTGTGTGTCTGTCTGTGCTTTCCAGCCCAAGAACCAATTTCCCCATCTGAGGAAACTGGACAGGCTCCTGGAGGCTGCTGGGAAGCTGTGATGTACAAGTAGCTGTTGGACAGATTGTCCTGTAGAAGCAGCCAGCTCTCATTGTCCAGATTGAAAGACACACTTCCAAGAAAACATCCAAAAAAAAAAAAAAAGACCCAACTTGAGATCCCATCTTGAGAGCTTCTCAGGGCTATTCTTGTTCTAGGCGGAGGGCGCCTGGCCGATTCTCAGATGGCATGTGTCTTAATAGCTGGACGGCTGGTCAGGCCAGCCTCCAGCTCACTCCTGCTGGGCTCAGAGAGGAAGTCCACTTGACAGCTGCTGGGCACCACCCAGTAAGCTCACCCGAGGGTTTTGGTGTCTTTGTGACAGACTTGGATTCAAACCCCAGCATTGCCACTAGCTTAACATGGTGGCTGCCCACAGTTAGTTAGCTTTGACTCTGTTTTCTTACCTCTGAAGTTGGATTGTAGTCCTTCTCTCCTGGGTTACAGTAAGGATTGAGGGAAACACTTTAAGATGGTTGACGGTGTACTGTGTGGAGTGTGGCCCTTTCCCCACATCTTAGCATTAGGAAGTGCTTGGGTAGCAGTCCGCACACTGCACAGACTCAGGGAAGTCTCACATAGACTCTGCACATAGACTCCCGGCTGTCTCATTTCCTGCTTTTGTGCTCTGTAGCCTTGAGCACTTGTCTTGATTCCACTATCAGCTTCCTGACCGGTGCACCCACCCACTAGGGGTGCTGGACAGATTCGGTGAACTGAGGCTGTGAAGCGCTTATTCTGTCTGGCATGTTACACGCCCAGCCACAATGGGTGAGCGAGGACTTGTTAACTCTGGCTGGAGTTCCCACCTCCAGGGTCCTGCCCTGTGTCCTCACTCCTAGTGACTCTTGGAAACTGTCACCTCACTGGATGCTGATTGGCAGAGGATACTTTTGGGTTTTTTTTTTTTTGTTGTTGTTGTTGTTGTTGTTGTTTTTGTTTTGGAGGGGGGAAACATACTTTATGTAGCCCAGGCTACCTTGGAATTTTCAGTCCTTCCCCTTCCTCACGGGATCACCGGATGTGTGTGTAGGAATTCTAGGTCAGGGCTCACACTGCTCACTAATTTTCTCTTATTCATCCTTCCTGTTCCTTGTAAAGCTTTCCTCCATATCAGGTAATAAGGAGGATATGTGTAGTGGCAATCCCTCAGGCAACCAGAGGGGTTTCTCAGAAATGTGAGAATTCAGAGGCTTGATGTCTGAACTGAGGCCTAACTTGGAGGACCTGAAACCAAGAGGCCCTGTCTACTGTTATCCCTGGGGCTAAAGACTGGCCTTCAGTGGCTGCAGTCCACTTTCCTGTTCAGCTGTAGCTCCTAAAAGTTCCACTTTTTCCCCCTGTTTGTCATTCAGGTAAATCATTCAGCTCACTCATGGCCATGTCACATTGGATTGTCTTTAAAACTTGGAAAAGGAGACCAGACGGCTTACCCTGTTCACCAGGGCTCCCGTGATCACAGTGGCTGATGATTAAGGGGAGCTGGGAGGTATTTGCTTAGCTTTTTAGACCTCATGAAGATGGAAGGTATGTAAGAGGTCATCTCTGTGACATTATGGAAAATGAGGAACGTGAGACTCGGGGAAGAAGCAGTTTGGCCAACACTACAGTGGAAGCAGGGATGGCCCTGGAAGGCTGGTTGTCTGCGTCCATGCTCCAGCCCAGCCTCTCACACTGGGTGTCTGCTGATCTTTTCTACGATAGTGTAATCAGAATACTTAGTTGCCATATATTTTGGTTGAACCGATTCTGGCAGTGGTTGCAAGCCAGTATGCTTCCTTTCCACCTTCACAGATTTACCCTTATTGTTATTTTCTAGGGTGCCAGATGCCTGATACATTCAACTCCTGGTTTCTTATAACCCTGCTTCACGTCTGGTAAGTGATCCATTCTAGGTGAGGTACCAAACGCATGTGTGTGTACTGTAAGGCACAGCTCTCCTCTCGGGTCTGATTATATAAGTGGTGCTTGTTCAAGCATGAAAACCTGTCTCTCATTTTCATGACTGGTACCTTGGAGCACATTTTTATTAAAGGTCAAAGCATAAACCCAGAAAGAAACTAATATTTGTAATATTTTTCTTTCAAAGAGCACCTATCCCCGTGAATAATGCTATCACTCTCTCTGAGAGACTCTGAGGCTGGATGGAAAATTCTCTCCCTTGGCTGTTTTAGGAAAGTTCA